GGTGCGCAAGATTGTCACAAACCATGGGATCGTGGGCCCTGGTGAGAGTTCGTCAAGCATGACAAAACAGAACAGTTGACCTCACTGACACTTTCCGCTGACGGAAACCGGACAATGTCAAAGTGGTTATTAAAGAAAGGTGCACACTTATTCGACTAATCGATTCTGCGTGATCGGATCGGATCGGGTCACGTCGGGAAGCAGCAAGCTGGGCTGACGAGTTTAAGTTTACTCTATCAGACAGAAAGCAGGTTAAATGCTAGGTGTTTAAAGGCACAACTGGTCCTACTTCTTTACCTCCTGCCTGTTGTTTCTGTCTGTCTGTTATGTTTTATCCCAACCGTTGTTTCTGTCTGTCTGCCTTGCCTTTTGCGGTTTGTTGGATAGGACCAGTAATAGGTCCTACTTCTTAATTTTTCCCTCGCTTCTTTCTGACTGTCTATCTTACATTTCCTCTACTGCTGTTTCAGTTTCAGTCTGTCGGCCTTGCTTTTTGTGGGTGGTTGGAGGGCACCACTGGTAGGTCCTACTTCTTAATTTTCCCTCTCTAGTTTATGTCTGTCTGTCTTATTTTTCCCCAGCACTAATTGACCATTATTGTGTCGATGTGCCTCTCTTTATTCAAACAAACAAAACAAGCCTTGCTTTTCCCCTCTGCACTAAATACACGCAATTGTGTTGATGTGGTTCTCTTTAACCAAGCAAATAAACAAACACAATGGCAAACAGACAAACAAACTCAGACATCTTGCAGGATACTATGCCATCAACTTACAAGGGGGCTCGCGTGGCCCAGAGGTATAAGGTGTTGGCCTCTCATTCCAAGGTCCCAGGTTCGAATCCGGGTTATAGTGACTGAAAAATTGTCTTCTCTAAATTTGTCTCCTTTCTCCTCCTTTCCTGCTCTCTAGCAATGTTCTGTCGTCTGCTTTCGTCTCCTCTTTTTGCCCCAACTCCCTCATCTCCTTTGCCCCCCCCCCCTCCTCTGGGTTCCTGATTCTTTCTACAGCCTTTCTACTACTATTCCTTGGCTTCTTCTCACTGCAGTCTTTCAGCCACACCCCTGATCTTCTGATAGGAAAGATCTACACCTAGCCTTCTCGGACAATGGCGAAAAATCTCGGAGGGCCCGTGTGCAAGTTGCGCACGTTAAAGATCCCTTGGTGGTCTAAAATCGATAAGAGTAGGCTTCGGCCGCCACACGGGCAACAATTCAAAATTTCCAACTGAAAATATTAGGTGTGTCCCGCGCGCTCATATGACCTCATGCAGTTGCGAGCGCCGTAAAAACACTTACCAAAACAAAAAGGATGCTATGCCATCAACTTATAGGGGGTGCCCATTTCGGCGGGTCGGGCCAGTCATCCGACTAGGTCGCCTGGACACAAACGCGTTTGTTTTCAGGCGACCGCGTCGCCTGTCGGCCCGACCCGCCGATCCCCCCCATAATTGACACCGCGTATGATCTTGGACGGTTCCAAATTTACATGAGCCCGTGGAAAATAAAATCGGATCAGAATGGAACCAGAAAGTGTGTCAAAGGCCTAAAGTGCGCAGCTCACTTAACAGTCGATGTCCTCGGACACAAACATAGCAAAACATACGCAGACAATGGGTGCGAAAAGGTGCTATCTGAACACTGAGTTGGCTTGCACTGTCTATTAATGTTTAAAAAATATTCACATATATCCATACACACGTACCACAAGTCTAATAAACATAAATATTATGCAAAATAAATTACTTTTTTTTTTTGGATCCCGTGGCCAGCTATGAGCAACAATGGCAAATCTATCATACCGCTACCTCAGAATTACGAAGTTGTATCTGCTTAGTGCCTAGTTTTGAGAAATTTGACGTAAAATATTTTCGCAATGTATAGAGTTTCGCAATATATTAAGATTTTTCAAATGGAATTCTTTGAATATCTTGATAACGATTCCGAATAATCTTACGATTTTGATGGAGCAGACATCATGGCCCTATGGTTTTTGTAACTCAAAACGGACAAGAATATCAGATCACATAGAACTTTATAATTCTGAGGTAGCGATATTATAATATTATATTTAAACTTACCTTATAGTACATTACTGGGTCGACAGAGGGATCACCATGTGGAAATTCTGCTTATTTCCATAAACCTGCTATCCAACCGTCTGTCTCCTTTTAACTTTATTTTTATAGCACTTATTGAGTTGGCACTAACTGACCTTATTGTGTTGCAAGTGCCGTAAAACGCTTACTCAATCAAACTTAGTGAGTTTTATATGTGTATAAAGACGAGTGGGGCTATTTATGTGTCAAACACTGCG